ATATTAATTTGTAACCCTTCTCTTATTTCGAAATATCTTATGAAAATTTGGTTATTCGAATTTACAAAATTATTATTTAATTGAAATTAAATTTAAGGTGTTACAGATCACAGATTCCTGATGCCCTTGACCTCAGGGACTTACTCAGTTTCACACCATAGATGGTCGCCAGATAGCCCCTGCTCCACGGATACAACGTGCACGGTAATTTAAATATCTTAATCCATGATTTATGTGGTGTTTTTATTATGTATAGCTAGATTAATGGTGGGTTAGGTGAGGTTGAAGGTAGATTAAGAAGGAAAACAAAGAAAAGAAAGAAAATAGCAAGTCTTAAAACAGAATTCTCTAAGATTTTCGTACAGATATACTATGTCTGACCAATTATTTAATTGTTTAAATATTATGAAAATATTTTAAACTTAAACTAGACATCCATATATTTCTATACATATAAATTATTAAGCAATTGGATTAGCATAGAATTAGTTATGAATTTTTGAAGTTTGCTTTAAGTTTCAGATTTTGATTTTAGGCAGGTAAGCTTGCATAAGACATAACTCGTTCTACATAACTTGGATTGAGGTGAAAAAAATTATTAAAAAGCTAATATCTATTAGTTTATACCATAAAAATTTCAGAGTCCAATTCAATTTGAGCAGTGCCCAAAATTTTTTTGAAGTTACCCTAGTGCTGTTGAGTCAAAAACAGAGCAACCTATAACAACCAACTTTAGAACCTTATAACTTGAGTTCTATTTAACCAAATGAAATGAAACCTTTTGGATATTAAAATTTGATTCCTAAACTTTGAAATGAAATGAATTTAGCAGTCATACACTTAGAATTCAAACTTTGGTGGATTTTAACATTTTTGACTACTATTTTGGCTAATCATAGGACAGAGTAGAAAGCAAAAATCTTGAGCTGTAATTGTCAAAATTTGAATGGGATTAATTAGATTAAAAAATAGACAAATAGGGTTTCAACATATAAAAAATTCAAGTCTATTGAAATCATATAGCAATAAACGTAGTAAAACTAAAACAAGGCAAAATTTATCCCTTAAGAAAAGAATTATGAATTTAAAGGTTTTGTTTATTCAATTATTTGCTATGATATGTGAATGTTTGTTTGTTAGTTGACACTATTCATTAGAAAACAAATATGACCCATTATGCTACACAAACTTTGTAAGAGTTATGAATAAATTGTAAAATTTCAAAAGAGATATGTGAGGTACAATATGAAAGTTATGAAAGTTTAAGATGATTGAAAGTTATAAGAAAGTCCTATATCACTTGGACCAGCCTCAGATAAAAAGTTAAGGAGAATAAGTGTAACACTTGACCTTTTTGTAATATTGATTGTTATTATTATTATTATTATATATAAATGGATGTTGGAATGTACTCTTGAGTGTGTGACGAATATTGAATGATATGTGTATGTTTGGGGTTAGACTAAAATTTGGCTAAGTGTTTTGGTGCAAGGTGTTCTCACTGCAGCCAGAGATGTAGCCCTGAAATGAAGGCATGAAACTATTGTCTTCTCGTTGTAGTGAGAGTGTCTCGCTGTAGCGATAAAGCAACAGTTTAGGGTGCATTTCTGGGTACAGTCTCACTGTAGCGAGAAGGTCTCACGGTAGCGAGAGTCTGCAGAAACCAGGGTGCAATTTTCTCTAATATTTTTGCTATAGCGACAGGGGGCGTCGCTGCAGCAAGAGATGTCTCGTTGTAGCGAAAGTGTCTCGTTGTAGCGAGAGTGTTGCGAGCAGAGCAGTATTTGAAGGGGTTAAGGTTAGAGAAATTCATTTCCCATCTTCCCTCTTCAAAATTTCTTCGATCATCTCAATCCCAAACCCGATTCCTTAAATTGCCTCCAAAGTCGTTCGTGAGTTAGATTGAAGGTTGGATCAGTGTTGGGGACGCTTGGAGGTGAGTTTTAATGGTTACGGTTTTGGTTTTCATCCCTCTTCTCTATTTTTTCGGTTCCTTTTGAGTTCTTATAGAGTTTTCCATGTGTTTTAGGGACAAAATTCATGTGGAGAATGTTTTCTACCATTGTTTGTGCATGGGTCTTCAATTTGAGGTAGGGGGACTCTACCCTATCTCATTATGTTTTGATTTCCATTCATTTTGCTAAATACTACAATGTGGCTGAGATAGAAGGTAGAAAATGTGTGTTGATGGGAATTCCTGTGTGTTTGAATGCAATGTGATGTGTGATGCGGTGATTGAACCCATTGAGGGTGAGTGTGTGTGTGGTGGCATGCAGTTAATTTACGAGAATTCAATGTTTAAGTGTGATATGGGCCTATGTGTCGTGTAATATGAAAGAATGTGAGCCTATGTGCCGTGTAATGTGAATGAATATGGGCGTATGCGTCGTGTGCGAATATTGCATGTAATTGAAATGTATGTGAATGGGTGATATAGCTTTATCGAACACTTATCAAATGCACAAGGTTTTCGCAATTATTTGTAGAATAATGTCAACCAAGGTCGAATTCTCGAGGACACGTTTGTATCTAATTCTTCATTGCCGAATTGTTAAAATGAAACAAAAGATTGGGGGATTTTGAAAGTTTAAGAATAATCTGATCAAACGCATAAAATTCTGGAATAAAAGAGAAATCAAATGAGAATTAATTGATCCACAAGTCATAGCTTCATGCAAACAACATCCTTCATTGTTTCCCTAGTTTGAACATCTAATCCATTAACTAATTCAATCGAATTTGCTAACAAACTAGATTACGAATTTGACTAATAGATCCATCAATCTAATTCAATTTCATGAATCAAACTACAATCGCAATTCAATTCAATTCCTATCCCCAAACATTATCAATATCTTGAAAACGAAAGAGAAGAGGAGAAAAGAGAATTCAAACTTGGAGCCACTCTGAATCTTCCTTGCAATTCCCTATTCCTTATGTATCAATCCAAGAAGCCTAGCCTTCCATAGAATCCAATGCTCAGCCAAGTCAAGAAAAAAGAAGAAGAAAGAAGAAAACGAAAAGTCACACCAAGAGAAGAGAGAGAATTCGAGAGAGAATTTTAAGAGCCAAAACCGAATTTAAAAAAAAATGTGTAAAAAAAACAAAAATGTTTTCAAAGTGGAGCCTCTAACATATTAATAGACACCACTTATGATCAGATCCAACACTAAAAGGGAGGGCCCACAAGTGTGATTAAACAGCCCAAATTACAAGCTAATGAAATGTTAATACAAATGAAATGAAATTACAAGAACAAAATTCGAATACAAAAATTCCTGCACAATTTTCCTAACTTCAAAAATTCATAGAAAATAGAAAACAGCTCCAATTTGGACAATCTGCATATGAATTTTATAGCCCAGAAAATGAGGAATCCAATGCAACTAGAATCAGACCGAACGGACATCTGTGGAAAATGTTACGATCAAAACAGTGAGTGCAGGTCTAAAAACAGAATTTAGACATTAATTGAAATTGAGTTCCTATCATCCAATTAACTAGGAAATGCCATAATTTGTGAAATAAGGGAAAATGAAAGGTAATTTACACACTCTAAAGGATTGAAAATGTGCACAAATAATGCATGCTATCAAATTCCCCCACACTTAAGACTTTGTACTCTGGGCAAAGTATGGAATTCAAAATATCAATTGGTGGACAAAACTCAACCAAGCTCAATATTCCATGGCGATAATGAAAAATCAATCCACACACTCCAACTCAACAAGGTAAAACTCATCAAATCAATGCAAGAGAAATATATGTGGTAAAATCCTCTCAAGACATACTCTCAATCTCTCAAGTGTTTAAGGTAAAATGTATCACTCAAGTGCACAATCAATGAAGCATGATCAACCTTAGGCTTGCTTATTGCCTACTTCTCCACTAGAATACACATATACACACAAAAATCAAGAGGTCTTGCATAGGGTGTATTGGGGCTAGGATGAAGGTAGGAAAACCACAAGGGTGAGCAAGCTAAAACCAAAGAGGAAATAAGAACAATGGGGAATGAATGCAAAGAAAGTAAATGTGAAAGTACGTCCCCTAAGTGAAAACATAATGCAATGCAATACAATGAACCAATCCTCAAATGGATATCATTGGCCTTCACTTTCCTCTATTTATTGCTTACTTTTTAGTTCCTTTTTCTCACTTCTTTTTTCTTTTTTTTTTATTATTTGCTCCCCTTGTTGGTAATTTGGGGCTAAATTTGTTTTTATTTTCCAAATCTTTTTTAAAAAAAAAAAACAAAACAAAACAGCTCCACTAAAACCTCCAAGCTACAAGATAAACAACACAAACAACCAACCAACCAAAATTGCATTTTCTAAGAGAATTCCCCCACACTTATTTCTATGATCATTCCCAAAACAATTCCAAAGTTCTTAAATCCCTAAGGTTGGGTCATCACATGGTTTTACACTTTTGGTTTGTAATGAGTTAAGATCACAAGAAATATTAGGCTCAAGGGGGCTCAACAATGGATATAGTGCAAGGTTGGCTTCCCTTTTTTTTTAGTAGCTCTCAAGAAAGAAACAATGCCTCTATCATTTAAATGCATGCATATGGAAATGTAATTTCAAAAAGGCTCAAGGCAAGTTCTAGAGTCACACAACAATGAGTGCAATCACACAATGAAAGAAAGCAAAATGACATGATGTTGTCATTTATCTCAATGGCCCAAAACCTCACAAGGTAAATATTCTACCACACATAATCCAACATACAAGATTCTCAAAGTCTACTTATCAAACTAAAGCATGATTTAATCAATCCATCAAAGCCATGAAAAATCACCTAATTGAGTTATGTACAACAATTACAACACAAACAAATGAAAACATGAAACACAAATGAAAAAAAAAAAAATACAAAATGAGTGACATGATACACCCCCCCCCCACACTTAAAATCCACATTGTCCTCAATGTATACACAATAAGCAAAAAGACAATCCAAAAGTGAGGGAGTTGAAAGAAAAACTCCCCTATCAATCAAGGGTAAATGGCCAATCCAAATGTAGAGTCCTCCTCCTCTTGTGCATGCTCTTTCAAGTCCTCATGAAAAACTTTAAGTCTATGCCCATTAACTTTGAAGCTCCTTTGGGATCCCATGTCTTGAAGCTCAACTACACCATAAGGAAAAACATTAATAACAAGATAAGGTCCATCCCATCTAGATCTCAACTTACCGGGCATCAAGTTAAGTCTAGAATTATATAAAAGAACTTTATCACCAATATGAAACTCTTTCCGACCTATCCTCTTATCATGGAATGCTTTGGTTCTCTCTTTGTAGATGTTGGAATTCTCATATGCCTCCCTACGAATCTCCTCCAACTCTTGCAATTGAAGCTTCCTATGAGAACCCGCTGCATCCATATCCAAGTTACATTGCTTGATTGCTCAATATGCCTTATGCTCCACTTCCACCGGTAGGTGACATGCCTTTCCAAAAACAACCCTATAAGGAGACATCCCTATGGGTGTTTTGTAGGCTGTCCTATAAGCCCAAAGAGCATCCTTTAAGCGCAAACTCCAATCCTTTCTATTAGGTTGGACAGTCTTCTCCAAAATTTACTTGATTTCCCGATTGGAGATTTCCACTTGTCCGTTAGTTTGGGGGTGGTATGGTGTGAAAACTCTATGCATAACCCCAAACTTCCAAAGCAAGGCATCCATGGTACGATTGCAAAAGTGTGATCCTTGGTCACTAATCAAAGCTCTAGGAAATCCAAACCTGCAGAAAATATGTGATCTAACAAAATCCACAACAACACGAGCATCATCAGTACGAGTGGGCTTTGCCTCCACCCACTTAGAGACATAGTCCACTGCTAACAAAATATACACAAAGCCAAATGAAATAGGAAAGGGACCCATAAAATCAATACCCCATACATCAAACACCTCACAGAAAAGAAGTGACAATTGAGGCATCTCATTCCTATGTGAAATATTCCCCGTCCTTTGGCACCGCTCGCAAGTCTTACAAAAAGTGTGTGCATCCTGGAATATAGTGGGCCAAAACAATCCAGAATCTAAGATTTTTCGAGCTGTACGTTGAGGTCCAAAGTGTCCACCACAAGCAAGGGTATGGCAAAATCGAAGCACGGATTGGAACTCAATTTCAGGCACACATCTTCTTAGGATCTTATCACTACACATCTTCCATAGGTATGGATCATCCCAAATGTAATATTTGGAATCACTCTTCAACTTGGCAACTTGAGCTCTAGAAAAGTAGGAAGGAATCTCCTTGGAAACAAGATAATTCACCAAATCTGCATACCAAGGATCATGCCCTCTAATGTGCAAAAGTTTCTCATCCAGAAAGGTATCACGAATAAGAAGATCCTCAAGTGGCTGCTGAATTCTGCTCAAGTGATCCGCCACTAAGTTCTCAGCCCCGCTCCTATCTCTAATCTCAATATCAAATTCCTGCAAAAAAAGCATCCAACGAATCAATCTAGGTTTAGAATCAGACTTCTTAAGCAAGTATCTCAAAGCTGCATGATCAAAGAATACAATCACTTTAGAGCCTAGCAAATATGAACGAAATTTATCTAAAGCAAAAACAATGGCTAAAAGCTCTTTCTCCGTGGTAGTGTAATTCGCTTGTGCTCTGTCCAAGGTAAGAGAAGCATAAGCTATGACATTAGGTTGCTTCTCCACTCTTTGGCCCAGCACAGCACCTACTGCAAAATTTAAGGCATCACACATGAGTTCAAATGGAATTTCCCATCTAGGTGGTTGAATGATAGGTGTGGAAGTGAGGCTTCTCTTCAACTCATCAAAGGCATCCCTACAAGCTTGCTCAAAGACAAAGTCAGAATCCTTTTGCAAAAGAGTGAATAATGGAGATGCAATCTTGCTAAAATCTCTAATAAAGCGCCTATAAAAACCTGCATGACCTAGAAAAGAGCGTAATTCCCGCACACATGTGGGGTAAGGTAAAGAAACAATCACATCAATCTTAGCTCTATCTGTCTCAATGCCCCTATGTGAAATCACATGTCCCAATACAGTCCCCTTATTCACCATAAAATGACACTTTTCATAATTCAAAACCAAGTTGGACTCAATGCACCTATCTAAAACTCTAAACAAGCTATCTAAGCAAGAATCATATGAAGACCCAAAAATAGTAAAATCATCCATAAAAACCTCAAGGGAATCCTCTAAGAAATCTACAAAAATGCTCATCATACATCATTGAAAAGTACCAGGTGCATTACAAAGTCCAAAAGGCATACGTCTATATGCAAAGGTGCCAAAAGGACATGTGAAAGTAGTCTTATGTTGATCTTCTGGGGCTGTGTGAATCTGAAAATAACCAGAAAATCCATCTAGAAAACAGTAATGAGACTTCTCTGCTATCCGCTCCAAGACTTGATCAATAAAAGGCAAGGGGAAGTGATCTTTGCGGGTGGCCACATTTAGCTTCCTATAATCAATGCAAACACGCCACCCATTCTGAATTCTAGTGGGAATCAATTCATCTTGCCGGTTCTTCACAATGGTTATGCCGGTCTTCTTGGGTACTACATTATAGGGCTCACCCATTCACTATCCGAAATAGGGTAAATCATGCCGGTAACCAGTAATTTGCTTACTTCTTTCTTCACAATCTCTAGAAGAGTGGGATTCAATCTCCTTTGGGGCTGTCTCACAGGCTTTGCATCATCATCTAGCAAGATCCTATGCATGCAAGTAGATGGACTAATTCCTGGAATGTCCGTCAGAGTCCAGCCTATTGCTTGTTTGTGGGCTGCCAAAGTCTGCAACAACTTCTCTTCTTGTGCAGCATCCAAATCTGCAGAAACAATCACAGGTAATTTATCATTAGCCTCTAAAATTGCATACTTCAAATGTTTGGACAAAGGTTTCAATTCAAGTGTAGGTGGTTGCACAATAGAAGGAAGTGTTCTAGTGGAAACATCTAAATCTGCAGCAGCACATGTGGGAGCAGTGTTAGGTGTATGTGCACTTGCTGTAATCAAGCCAAAGCTTCCTAAATCTGCTCCTACTGCATCATCAAATGAAACATCATTATCACCTAACAAGAATTCATCAATTTCAGCACATACTTTACATAATGCTACAGAGGTATATGTACAAGAATAATCATCAATCAATGCATCAGAATATTCATCAACTAATAAATCAATGATGTCTACATGGTATACACTATGCAACTCTGTAGGATGTTTCATGGACTCAAAAATATTAAAATGCATAACATCATCACCAAACTCCATGGACAGAATTCCTAAATGCACATCAATCTTTGTCCTTGTTGTTTTAAGGAATGGTCTACCAAGGATCAATGTGGGAATGCTAGACTCTTCTGCCATGTCCAAAATATAAAAATCTGCAGGAAATATCAACTTATCCACTCTTACAAGGACATCTTCCACTACTCCAGCAGGGTGTGTGGTACTCCTATTTGCCAATTGAATGACTACACCAGTTGGCTTCAATGGACCAAGGTTCAAGGACCTATATATTGATGTAGGCATCACATTGATGGAGGCACCAAGATCAAGTAAAGCATTGCTGAAGGTGGAATTCTGTTGTTCGCAATCTAACACTAGCAAGTGCACTAGGATTGCAGCAAGTAATGAGTAAATTTAAGATCCAAATATCGTCTCCACAGGGAATTTAAGTTTCAAATACCACTTCATAGAATTATAACCATTTAAGCTTTTTTGAAATTGGAAGAAGAGTAGTAACATGTAATAACAGCAAACCAGAACAATTAAAAGTAAAATGAACTTGCAGAAAACAGAACAATGAACAAACAATTATGTGATAACAGAGAAAGAAACCATAGCTAGGGAATTGCTTCACCAAAACTCCAATGTTTAATCAATAAAGTTCTGAATTAACAAGCATTTGGAAAGAAAGACAATCAGTTTCACGTTCTATTGTTCAGAGGTTTATTCCTTAACTCAGTGAATCTAACATTCAATTAAAACATTCTAATTCCTTAGATCTGATTTAATTCAACATTGCTTTAAGTATAACAAACCAAAAGATTGCAAGATCAAAGTTCCTTATCCCTAAGAAAACTATAATCTTGGTGATTGGTTCAGATCTGAAGAACAAATTCAATTTCTATTGACAAGAGTTCCTCTGAAATTAGTTAATCAAATTTCCATTCAATTCCTACGTAAAGTGCAGAATCAATCACTCAATCTATTCCAAAGCTTGAAATCCAGATCCAAAATCAATTCAACATATTCGTTTCAGATCTACAATCCCTAGCTATGAACAAATTACACAGCCATGGCAGCAGAAAAAAGAAAAGAAAGAGAAGAAGAGAAGAAGAAAATTAGAATCGCCATGGAAGCTTGCTCCACTCCAATTCATCTTCGTGAAGTTTCGAGATTCGAATCCCCACTCCTCTCTCTCACTTCCTCTAACAAGAATCTAACTAAAAAAATTGAAAATGAACAGAATCCCGTCTTTCCGGATCATTTCTGGTATTTATAGAAATTTCCAGATTTTCACGTCATCACTTTTATGAGAAATAGTAGTTACGCAAAGAGTTTATGGTTGCGCGTTAACACTTTTCCCAGAAATAGTGGCCAGGCGCAACTTCCTAATATTGAGAGCTCTCTGGAACTATCACTTTTGCTGATAAAAGTGACAACGCAGAGCCAAAGTAGTTGCGCGTTATTACTCTTATAGATAAAAGTGACTACGCGCAACTCGCCAAGTTGAAGACTCTCTAGAACGATCACTTTTGATGACAATAGTGGTAATGCCCAGGCTTCACTTCTTCTTTGAGCTCTGAAGTGATCACTTTCACTGACAATAGTAGTCACGCTCAGTCTGCAATTTCTTATTCTTGTGTTTTTGGAGTCCAGACTTGTTTCTTTCCTCTTCCTTGTCATCAAACCTCCATGGATATGATCCTTGCTCAATTTATTCCTTCAAAAACAAGATTAAGAACTTAATTCCTAAGCAAAAATTTCACAATTGCTAAAATAACTATAAATTTAAACAAAACTTCAATTCCTTATCTTTTTCTGAGTTTTTCTGCTTTCTTTATATATTTTTCTTATCAAATGTGTTAGAATTATGCTAAAATATCAGTCAAAATATAGATTCATCACTACCCCAAACTTGAATTTTTGCTTGTCCTCAAGCAAATCAAACTAAACCAAGGGTAATTCTTCTAATTTTCAAAAACTAATTCACAAACTGCTATATCAAAATTTTCCAATTTGTAATTCTGTGTTTTCTACATAGTTTTCATTTAAGATGTTCTTCCAATCTTCAGCCTGGCAATCACAATGCATTCCTCAAGTTTTAAGCAATAATTGCTATCTAAGTGAATATATATCAGCCAAGTTCATGTGAGAAATATTAAA